GGCCGTCTGCGCGTCCACGCCCACGATCGGGCACGCCCCAGGCGGTGCCATCATGATCAGGTCGGAGAGCTCCTCCATGGAGTCCTCGTGCTAACTGAGGGAGCGCCCTGGAAAAAGGTGACTGCATACTATCCAAAAGTCCTTCTTGCGGATGCGAAATAGGCGTGCCGCCGAGCGCCCCCATTTCAGCAAATCCCCTCGTAGAAAAAGTCGAGCCCGAGAGCGCACCAGCAGCCCCATCTGCTTTTCCCCATCGACCTGCGGTGTGACCAGGTAGAGGTCGCCCTCGCCGACCTCCAGCCTCGTGGTCTTGCCCCAGTAGCCGACCTCCTGGAGGATGGCCGCGCCGTAGTCGTGCTGCTCGCGTAGCGTCGCTGCAAAGTACTCGGCGCTGTGCTACGCAATGCCCTGAGCGTTCCAGCTGATGAACTTGCAGCACATCTGCTCCTCGGACTCCTCCAGAGTCCTCTCCTTGTCCAATCATTGGCCCGCGTTGACCTTGGCCTGGAACTCGGCCAGGCTGAGGTGCACGCCCGTGTGGGCGCTGATGTCTGCCGCGACGTGCCCTTTGAAGCTCATGAGGCCAGTGGTCCTCACCATCTCGCCGAACGTGTGCTGCTTCCACCAGATGATGCCTCGAATGTAGTCCAGCTCGGGGTCCGCCGCATGCACGCATAGGTTGTCGGTCATCTCCTTCTTCGAACGTGAGATCATCATTGACAGCCGGATTTCTTCCGAGAGCTTTTCCACAGAGAACCAAAAGCGACGACCCAGGTGATGGCTGCGGCATAGTGATCTGTTTCCCTTTCATCGAACGTACCCAGGCCCACACGCGCCCCGAATTCGTGAAACGGACCTTCAGGAAACTGGCACGCTTGAGCGGGACGAACACCCCATCCTCTGCTTTGTCGGGAATGGCGTCGGTGAGCGCACGAGTTTCGCTCAGGATGGTGTCGCGGGGTGTGTCCCGATCCCACCCGCCAATACTCACACATATCTTGTCGCAAGCCCACTTCGGTCCCGACGCGGCCGGGTGTGCCGGCGCGCCCTCGACCCCCGAGAAGAGTAGCAAATGCCCGACCGCAGAAGCCGCCGTGGATGAGGGAGCCGCCGAACGTCCCTCTCGTAGGTCCTTGATATCCTGCCCCATGTTGTTGAGGCGCCCCTTGTGTCTCTCGACGTCCCTGCGTACATTGTCGATGGACGTCTTCACGTCCGCGAAATCTGTCGCCATCGGCTCCTTGATCACGGAGCGCAGCATTTCCTTGAAGTGCATCATCATCGTGGCTTCGTCCATGGCTGCTGGCACTGGTACTGGCTCGCGCGAGCGGCTGCGCGAAACCATCGGCAGCTAGCACTAGAAGGCAGAGTCGTGAAACAGATGGCAGCTGCGAGCCTCAGCCCATTCCGCCGCTTGAGCCAAAATTGCTGTTTGAGCCAAACTGGCTGCTGCTGATGATGATGCTGATGATGTTGATGTTGATGTTGATGGTGGTGCTAATGATGAGAGGGGTGAGCAGGAGGTAAAGGATTCTAACATTCATGGTGGATGGCAGGCGGGTCAAGGGCGGGCCAGACATGCAAGGATGCACGGGTACACCAGAACACACATCGCTCACATCACAAACGGCAACTGCAATACACTGGAACACGCGAACTTTCGTTGAAACGTGATTTGCGCATGGCGGGCGCACACACGCAAAACAACACGCACCGTGCACATGCCCACATCGGTAGCACCGTGCGCGTGGACATAGAACAACACTCAATTCACACAGAAATGCACCGACGCAAACCGCAACTGGAAGCTTGGGCAATACAGTGGCTTCCTCCCGAAGCCGTGCCCCTGATGACAGCACTGCTGGATATATATTTCTACGCATACGCGTAGCAAGAGAGAGAAGAGAGAAAGAGAAAGAGAAACAGAGAGAGAGAGAGAGAGAGAAATGGAAAGAGAGAGAGAGAGAGAAAACAAAAAAACATAGAGGAGAGAGAGAGAGAGAGAGAGAGAGAAAGAGAGAGAGGGAGAGAGAACAAACGAACATAAAGAGAGAGAGAGAGAGAGAAAGAGAGAAACTAAGACAACACAAACACTTTCTAGCCCGGCGAAGGACCTAACCGTACGTAGCTGGAAATAATGCAGTTGTAGATCTCGTCTTCGCTGGGGCTCCCTATGGAGGCACGCAGCGTATCAGGAATGTGTCGGTATGGGCGTGGTGAGCGCACGCGAACGCAGCCACTGGGGTCTTCGGTGGAGTTCCCGATGGGGCCACGAAGCGCGTAAGAGGTATGCCGAAATGGGCGGGGCGGACGCGTGCGGACACCGCCACTGGGGTCTTCGGTGGAACTCCCTATGGGGCCGCGAAACGTGTGAGCGATGTACCGACATGGGCAGGACGTGCGCATGCACACGCCGCCACTGGAGCCTTCGGTAGCGCTCCCTATGGGGTCAATGAGCGTGTGAGTGGTGAGCTGAAAATGGTTGCGGTGGACGCATGCGGCAGCAGCCACTAGGGCCTGCGGAGGAGCTTCCTATGTGGCCACGTAACGTATGCGGGGTGTGCCGACATAGGCGGGGCGGGTGCATGCGAACGCCGCCACTGAAGCCTTCGGTCGCGCTCCCTATGGGGCCACGGAGCGTTTGAATGGTGAGCCGAAAATTGGTGCGGTGTGCGCATGCGAACGCAGACACTGGGGCCTTCGGAGGAGCTTCCTATGTGGCCACGAAGCGTATGCGGGGTGTGCCGACATAGGGGGGGGGGGACATGGGAACGCAGCCACTGGGGCCTTCGGTGGAGCTCACTATGGGACCACGCAAACGTATGAGGGGTGTGCCCACATGGGCACGGTGGGCGCATGCGAACGCAGCCGCTGGGGCCTCCGGTGGAGCTCCCTGTGGGGTCACGAAGCGTGAGAAAAAGAGAGAGAGAGAGAGAGAATAAAAAACGAGAGAAAGAGAGATACATAGAGAGGGAGAGAGAGAAAGAGAGAGAGAGAGAGACTTTGCAGCGACTGCCGCCTTGGGCTCCGTGGGGGCAGGAGCCACCTGCCGCTTCGTCCTGGCGCGCGATCGGGTCTGCGCTGCGCACGCGGAGGCGCCCCCTGCACCTCCGCGCCCTCGCTCTCCCGCCTCCTCTCCTGCCCCCCCCCGCCCTCTCTCCTCCCCCCTCCTCCCGCTTCCTCTCTCTCACCCTCTCCCGCTTCCTCTCTTGCCCCCCCCCCCCCCGCCCGCCTCTCTCCTCTCCTCCTCCTCCTCCTTCTTTTCCCCCCTGAACAGCTACGCCTCCTGGATGCTGCACACCTCCCCCCCCTGATTCCAGCTTCCTCTTGCCCCCCCCCGCCCGCCTCTCTCCCCCCTCCTCCTCCGTCTACGCCTCCTGGATGCTGCACACCTCCCCCCCCCCCGGACCCCTGCGTGGTCGAAGTGTCGGCGGCCCGCTCCGCGCCCGGAGCAACAATTGCACCTTCTGGGCACTGCTCACCTCCCGCCCCCTGGCTCTCTGCGTGGTCGATGTGTCGGCCCTCTCCGCGTGCTGCTTGCATGCACCGGATGGCATGATAATTGGTGTTCCTATGTTTACCGTCCAGTCTGCTTCGGCGTGCAAAGATGGGGCTTCCGCTGCAGCGTGTGCAGTACCACATGTTCGGATCTGCTCTTTGCTCCAGTCGTTCAGAATGGCCCTCTTGTTCGTCCTCGTCCACGTTCTTGCTCATCCTCGTCTTTTTCCTCGTGCCCATCCTCCTGCTCATCCGCCGCCTCCTCCACTTCCCCCTGCTGTGTGCGCAGCTATGCTTTACGATTGCGCAAAATACGATGCGGGGTCCTTTCGGAGTTCCAAATCGGCTGTGACACGCGTCCGCGGATAGAGACACGTCAGCGCAATGGGGCGGGAAGGGGAGGGGTGGTCAGATGTCAGATATTGCGCAAGCGCTACTGGCTTGTCCTCTCTGCTTCTCCCTTCTCATCATGCTCCCCCCCCTCCTCCTCTCTCCTCCCTCTGCTTCAGCCGCTAGGAGGAAAGGGAGGGTGGGAACAAAAGGTGTGGAGGAGGGCACGGAAGGTGCGGGGAGGAAGAAAGGGGTGAGGGGAAGAGACAGATATGCCTGAGCCCCTCGCGAACCACATCTTGGAACCCAGAATGGTGAGAACGCCTCAAACGAAACGGGACAGAGCACCTCAAATCAGGGCATCTTGCAGCAGCTCGGGGTTCGAGGATGCCGCAGGCAAAACGTGCCTGAGACCTTCCCTCGTGAACTACATCTTGGAACCCAGAATTGTGAGAATGTATGTTACGAGGATGTCTCAAGCCAAGCGAGCCAGAGAACCTCAAGTCAGGGCAGCTCGGAACCCAGGGGTCTGCGGACACCTCAAGCGAAACAGGCCTGAGCACATCGTGAACCGCATCTTCAACCCAGAGTTGCGAGGACGTCCCAGGCCAAGCGGTCAGAGCCACGGATTCCGAGGATGTCTCAGGCGAAGCGTGCCGGAGTCCCTCGCGAACCACATCTTGAATCCCAGAGTCGTGGGGATGTCTCAGGTGCACAGGGCCACGGCACCTCCATTCAGGGCATCCCGAAGCCTGGGGTTCCGAGGATGTCTAAGGCGAACAGAGGAATGAAGATGTCTCAGGCGAAACGGGGCTGAGCATCTCAAGCCAGGGCATCTCGGACACCAGGGTTCCGATGATGTCTCGAGCGAAGCGGGCCTGAGCACCTCGTGAACTGCATCTTCAGGCCAGAGTTGCGAGGACGTCTTAGGCCAAATTGTCAGAGCCAGGGATAACGAGGATGTCTCAGGCGAAACGTGCCTGAGTCCCATCGTGGAACCCAGAGTTGTGAGGATGTTCCCTGCGAGTCGGGCCACAGCACCTCAATTCAGGGAATCTGGAAGCCTGGGGTTCCGAGGATGTCTCAGGCAAAACAAGCCTGAGGTCGCGAGAGGGGGGGCAGGGGGAGGGGGGAGGGGGGGCGCAGAGGAGGGGGAGGGGAGGGGAGAGGGCTTCTCGAAACACTGCTTGATGGAAGGCGCGGGCCTTCCATCTACACACAAGGCCCGCGCCTCCTAAAATACCAAAGGTGGCAACGGGGGCATGTGAGGCGGAAAGCTCGCACATCGGCGAGGGCACGCCTCAACTCGCGCCGCTTAGCATACAAATCTGACTGCTGCCAGCGGAGCGTGCCAACACCTTGTCAGCGAGTAGGATCGATATCCCGCAGGCCTGGTGAGAACTCGCTGGCCCCCTCGGGGAGCCCTCGGCGTGAGACTGGCCAGTCTGGAGGAGGGAGGGGGGAGGTCCACCAGAAGGTGCCAGGGTGACCGTCCGCTCCGGGACGCGTGAAAATTCCATCAGGCAGTTCAAAGAGGGCCCAGGATCAAGAGAAATGACCAGACACAGACACAAGAGTGTGCTTGGTCATCCCCGCTTCTCGAATGAATGTCTAAGGGCTTGCGAGCAATACGGCGGGAGTCCAGTCAGGAGGGGGCCTGCGGCTTATCTCGATCTCGCCCCGCGCATGCCGGAATGGATTCGTCGCGCAGTGATGCGAAATGATGGTCGCCGCCCTGGCGCTGCATCTTCCAGGATCACTTGCAACGGCGACCTAGGAGCGGCCAGAATCCGACGCATGCACAGAGCACCGGCCGCCAGCGGCTCGGCGCCCGCTTTTCGGGGGGCGCGCTCCATCCAACCCTTTGTCGTAAATCCTCCGGCCAGGGAGCTCGTGCGCTCTCGCGGCGCAGGCGCTGATGCTGCTCGCCCGGCCATGCGTGCTCTGCCGCGTCGGCGGTGCAATTTTCCCCCCGAGGAGGAGGTTGGAAGAGGAGGAGGAGGAGGAGGAGGAGGAGGAGGAGGAGAAGGAGGGAGGAGGAGGTTGGAAGAGGAGGAGGAGGAAGAGGAGGAGAAGGAGCTCGGGCTCCCGCTGCGCCGCGCGTGCCCTCCCTCCCTCCCCCTCTCCCGCCCCCTCCCTCTGCTGCTGCTGCTGCTGCTGCTGCTGCTGCTGCTGCTGCTGCGCTGCCTGCCTGTGCTGGCGCGGCGGGCCCGCTGGTCGCTCGCGCGGGTCGCGCGCCACAAAAGGGCCCCATCCACGGCCCACAACGAGCGCGCAGCCGCCGTGCCCGTCTGAAGGCGGCATGCCCAGCGCGTGGCTCGCGTGCCGTCAGGAGCTCCACCTCTGAGGCCCCCGTGGCCGCGTTCCGAAGCCGTCCGAGCCTCTCTATGCGGCACACCCCTCACGTGGATCGTACTGCCCACTGCAGGGATGCACCACGTCAACCGAACCGTACTGAGCTACTGGAGGTACTCGCGTGGTCGTTTCCTTCGCGGACCTTGGAGCACACACCTCATATGGCGTCTCGCTGTCTCACCCACGGCCCCAGTGAACGCGCTCTCATGCCGCCTCCGCCTCAAGATGGCGCACCCATCATGAGGATCGCGCCCATTTGGGAGCTCCGCTCCTATACCGGCCCCACTTCAGGAAGGTCCGCTCTTCATGAGCATCGCGCCCTATACGACGTTTCACCGAAGGCCCGAATGCGTGCCTGACCAATGCGTCCCCGCTTCGATGCAGCACACCACGCCCCTCACGCGGCGCCCGCTAGGGCGTTCCGCCTACGAACCCAACGAGCGCGTTCCAGTACAGCCGCCGCCTTAATTCGGCACACCCTGCATGCGGATCAAGCCGCCCACGGCCCCCGTGAGCGCTATCCTGTGCCGTCCCCGCCTCCACGCGGCACATCCCTCTCACGGATCGTGTCCAATCCAGAATGAAAAGAACGCCGCTCATGCGCCCGTGAAGAAGAATTTCCGGCAAGGCCCCCGCCTCAATCCAGCATTTCCGCTCACGCAGACCTTGTTCGTGGGGTACTGCTTGCAGACGTACTGAAAGGCCTTTTCTCCCCTCCCCCATCTACGTCCTGTCACGAAGCTTGCCCACTCGTCGTGCGCCCCCTTTTACATCAGGCATGCAGGTTGCACGGATGTTTCCAGCTGGCGTCCCGCTCGTTCACGGGGAAAACCGTTGTTTTGACACGGCCTCTACTGCTGCCAAGTCGCGCCCCATAGAGAGGTTGTCCTGGGGCCCCAGCGAACGCGTTCCTACTTCAGACCCCAGCGAATTGAAGCGGGTCACCCGCTTCAATTCGTCCCCCCCCCCCCTCACGCGGGTCGCCGCCACGAGGAGCTCCAACTACAGCCCGAGCGGAGGAGCTCGCACACCGCCCCCGCCTGCAAACGGCACACCTCCCACACAGAAGGCGCCCCATAGGGACTTCCACCTCATGGTGAAGAGTTGACTCCAATGCATGGTGTTGGGTCTTCCGCCACGCTAATACGTAAGCCGATGTGTATATGTATATATATATATGGATGTATACAAACACATATACACAATGCGTATCCCCTGGGCCAAATTCCAAAAAAATCGCAAACCAACCTGGGCCATTCGTTCGCGTTAGCGATTGGGGACGAAGGTGCTGGAGAAACTGGGCCAGCTTACCAGCATGTCGGTCAAGAAACGCTGGCCCAGCTTTTCGGGAGGATTTGTTCTGTCAGATGTTCGACTGCATTTCTTTTTGCGCTCCCGTGCGTATATGTCTTCCGCGGATGGCACTTGTTTGCGCTGGTTCGCGTTTTTGGGGGCCTGGCGTGCGTGTTTCGGTTATGCTCGGGGCTTCCCGCCATTGAAAAATATTGTCATCTATGCTTTGCCGTCGCGCGAGAGCTCTTGACCGGGGGCGAACATAATACGTCGAAATGAAGGCGGCCAACGAAAACGTCGCACTGTCGAACACAATTCCCCGCATCGCCGGAAATATGTTTTGTCCAGAAGCGTGAGTATTTGTTATTGGGGTGAGCATGCTTCCAGTCAGCGAAATATGCAGTTCCGCCAAGGGAATACAAATACATTTGCGTGTACATTAACACATACTAGAAACATCGCGCGCGCTAAAGTTCTAGCTAGGCCTGATGGGCTAAATCATGGAATATGGTTGTTGTCGCTTCTTGCATTCAAGGACTCTCTTGGAGGCCCTGCGCAAGCCTCGGAACCGTATAGGAACGGAGCTACGGAGACGCGGTAATCATTAATTCCCATTAGGTATTCAACGATTGGGGGCCCTCAAAGGCCTCTGCGTTTCTTTTCTGGGAGTTGAGGGGGGCCTTACTTGTGGTCTGTTGTGCAAGAGTAGACGCGGGGCGAACTTGAAAAAAAGGAATTGTGGGATTCCCATCTTTTTTCAAGTTGCTGTGCCTGGGCTGTGTGTCAGAAATTTTCTGGAAACAGGCCACGGTCAGCTGGGATGCCTCTCGGGATCTTCGTGCAAAAATGAGCAGGTGGTGAGTTTGAACTAAAAGGACTTTGTTTCAACTCATGGGATCATGAAATCTCGATTTCTGAGAGGGCGTGATCCACCGCCGCTTTACTGTGGAAAATTCCTCCCCCCCTCTTCCTCCGAACCCTGGGGTCCCCCCCCTTCGCCCCCCCCTTTCCCCGGCCCCCCCCCCCCCCGAACCCGTCCCCCCCCCTCCAGAAAAACCGGTGGGGGTCACTACCGGCCAGTGACCCCACCACTGTCGCACTGTCCCCAGTCCCCACCACTGATCCCACCACGGTCACACTCTCCCCACTTTCCCCACGGTCCCCACCACTGTCCCCACTGTCCCAACTGTCCCCACCACCACTGCCACCACCGTCCCCACCGTCCCCACCACTGCCCCACTGTCCCCACTGTTCCCACCACCGTCCCACTGTCCCCACACCACTGTCCCCACCTCCACCGTCCTCACCACTGTTCCACTGTCCTCACCACTGTCCCAGTGACCCCACTGTTCCCACCATTGTCCCCGCTGTCCCCACCAGTGCCCCCACCAGTGTCTCGCTGTCCCCACTGTCCCCACCATTGTCCCTCCACGGTCCCACACTCTCCATGGTCCCCACTGTCCCCACCAATGTCCCACTGTCCCCAGTGTCCCCACCACTGTCCTACTGTCCCACTGTCCCCGCCGCTGTCCCACTGTGCTGTCCCACTGTCCCCCGACTGTCCCCACCACTGTCCCACTGTCCCTACTGTCCCCACCACTCTCCCCACTATACCACTGTCCCACCACCGTCCTCACCACCGCCTTCACCACTGTCCCCACCACAACCGTCACCACCACTGTCCCACTGTCCCCACCACTGTCCCACTGTCCCCACTCTCCCCACTATACCACTGTCTCACTCCCGCCACTGTCCCACTGTCCCCACTACCGCCTTCACCACTGTCCCCACCACTACCATCCCCACCAATGTCCCACTGTCTCCCCACTGTCCCCACCACTGTCCCGCTGTCCCCTCACCACTTCCCCCACCACCACCGTCCACACCACTATCCCACTGTCCCCACCACTGCCCCACTGCCCCCACACCGCTGTCCCCACCACCACCGTCCCCACTACTATCCCAGCGCCCCACCACTGTCCCACTGTCCCGAGGAGCGGGAATCGTTTGCCGGCGGCGAGGGGGGGGGTCGAACCGCCGGTAGTGAACCCCCCCTTTTCATAATGGACGGGGAGGGGAGGGAGGGGTTTGAACAGGTAGTGACCCCCCCCGCCCCCTGGTTTTCGAAGGGGAGGGGGGGACGGGTTGGGAGCCCCGAGTGACCCCCCCTGGTTTTCCACCAGCAGCGGTAGAACATGCTCTTTCCGATGTCTACGGTGGTCTCGGGGGCAGCCAAAAGGACGTGAAGACGATCCAAGAGAGTGCCGAGACAGCCTCAGAGAGTTCAACTAGATTCCCGAAACATCTTTGCATGTGACTTCGAAGTCTGGATAGGGCTCGAGGAAGACGATAAGGAGTAGGATTCCAAACTTTTTAGAACGGAAATCTATGGAATTCCATTATTTGCCAGTTCCTCGGTCTTTGAGCGTTGGAAGCGGGAAAACGTGAGAAGGCGAAACACGTAGACAAAAACACTGGAAATCAACGATTTCACTCTCTTCGAGCTCTCTCGAGACGACTCTCGAAGCTCTCTTGGGATGTTTTTGGGGCCTCGTCGGGGCTATTTTGGGGGCCTCTCAGGGGTCCGGGGTGTGTTGGAGGCCTCTGGAGGGTCCCAGAGTCTTCTCGGAGGTCTCTGGAGGCCTCCTGCTCCCGCTCTTGGGCTCATCTTGGGCCTGTTCTGGGGATGTCTAGAGCTGTCCTGGGCGCCTCGTCGGCAGTCTTGGGGCCGTCTTGGCCCGTCTTGGAGCCGTCCTGGGAGCCTCTTGGGCGATCTTGTGGCGATCTTGGAGGCCTCTTCGGCCGTGTTGGAGCGTTGGAAGCATGAAATGGTGAGAAAGCCGGAAACCATTGGAAAAACTATGAACATTAACGATTTTCGGCTCTCTGGACGCTCTCGGGAGGCCTCTCGGAGCTCTCTTGAGGTCTCTTGGAGGCCTCCTGGGAGCCTGGAGAGCCGCCCGAAAACTATCCTGGGTTGCTCGGGAGCGTCTTGGGCGGTTCTTTTACGTTCTGGGGGCTTTTCGGGGTCGTCTTGGGCTGTCCTTGTGCGTTTTGGGGGGCTCCCCCGGAGGCCGGGAAGCGCGGTACCCGGAGCGCAATCCAGATGTGATCGAGGTGGAGGACGCCCTGGGATGGGGCCTGGCTCTCTCTCTCTCTCTCTCTCTCTCTATATATATATATACACATACATACATACATACATACATACATACATACATACATACA